ACCTCAGACTTCTAATGGACGGGGCCGGCGCAGCCCCCCTTGGGCCCTCGGCCATCGACCAAAGCGGGGAGACGACGCCGTTTCTGCATCTCGTGCATGCAATGGCCACCTGTCCATCCACTCGACGCCTGCAGTGTGCGATCCTCTCTTGCGGCCTCCTCATCCTCTCGGTTGCTCATGCATGCCGCTGCAGATCAAGCGGCCTGCCCGCCTCTAGTCCCTGCCATATGACCCTTCATTCATACAATTGATCATTTTTTGATGCGTTGGCGTTTTTGCCAGACCGCAAACAACTTGATTTTTTTTTTTTGGGGGGGGGGGTTTGGTATTCCTTCTTGCTCTATGCCCCTGCGCATCCTCTGCCACCCGATATGGGCCTCATACTCACCACCGTCTATATCAGATGAATTTCAGGCGTTCTAAGCTGACAAAACGGCAATGTCCTTCAAGGCAACACATTGACTGTATCGAATACTTCTCACAGTGCGTGGGGCGGCGCGAACGCAGGTGGCTGGCAGGACTCACCTTGTCAACGGCCACGAGCTTATTTACGCGCAGATGAGGGTTCACAACGCAAGCCACAATTGCCCGGCTCCCTGTCCAATAACCCCACGTTGTGCGGGTTTACACGGAGTTTGTCAAAGGAGAGGTCTGAGAAATGGAACTGGGATACCTACAGGTTTGTATTCGTACACGCAAGCCTCTGTAGGGTGTGTCTAACCAACGTCATAATACTCGGTGAGCGCATGTCAAGTCTGCTGAGAACAGTACCCCGCGAACTTGTTGGTTACAGCCAACTGAATTTTGGCGAAACAGAAGCCCAGCCAGTTTCCAATCGGACCGTCTGACTAGAAACGATCAATGGAGGATACAGAAAGACAGCCTGTCGAGTGCTACGACCGAGCTGCCCGGCCCCTTCCGCCCGGAGCAACCGGGCAGTGTCAGGCAATTCATTGACGAATTTGTGAGGTGCCCGCGAAACAGTCGATGCTGGTGCCAGGGAGACCCCCGTGGAGCTTTGGAGGGGTGCCAACCAACCCTCGAAGCGGTTGGTACAGCTATTTCTCCGATTCCTACGAGGTAGATATACACGTCGTCATGAAGTCTGAAAGACGCCAACGAGGAAGCATGTGTCAGCCCTGTATGTCTTAATCTCGCCGCAGCATGAATGGGTTTCGAAGAAAATCGGCAACGCCACCTTCGAGGGTTTAAACACTCCTCAATCTGTGACGGCAACCTTTCTGAGCGGGCAGCTGCGGGTTGTGATGTCGATCGTCGTGGACCATCTCTTCCAACCTCATTGCGGCCCCAAGCACAGTGGGCGGTAATTACTTTGCGGCATCTTGAGCAGAAGTGTCCAGGTGGAACTTTTTACAAACTCGGTCCCATATTGCGGCAAGCAGAACAGGGCAGCTGTGCCCTTGTAAGTTGTTGGGAGTTCACGAGTTGAACATGCCATGCAGCACATCGGCAGCGCGATAGGGCGAGAACAGGGTACCGAACCCGAAAACTACGGTGAAGCATCCTCAGCAATACAAAGAAGACGTGAGCACCCACACGCCCAAGTTTGTGCAGAGAACGGCGACATGCATGTTGGCCGCTGCGTGGTTTGCAAAATACCATGCTGAGCTGCACATTTCTCCGAGTTCGATGCGGTGCCTTGTCCGATCTGAGAGAGAGAAAGAGAGAGAGACAATTTCACTCGTACAGATGGGCAAGAGTGGCTGTGCATACCAACACAGTCATCAATCTGGCGTGTGACATTGCATAACACTTTTAGCCTTACTGATTCCATCCGTGTCGGGACTGACTTGCGAGTTCCAGACGGCTCATCGCATTGAGCGATCAGCATAGATGCAGCCGTACATAACCTTTAGGAGGAAGGAAGTGCTTACTCGTCGTATGGCTAACCTGCAGTAGACGATTTTGCTCTTTCTTCGGAGCTAGATTTGAATAGCTAGCACTCGGTCCTTAATTCGATCCGCGGGACATAGGACTACGCGTACGTGTTCGAGATGGCCTAGGAGGAACCATGGCCAAATTGCAGCGTCGACGATTTAAGGTGTCTGAGGACGGCGCACGAGCGCTGTTTTACGCCCGGCTTGGCTTCCCCTCGCAAGCTCAACATGACGCGGCAAAGGCTACTTTGAAGCTCTGATCGATCTGAAGTTCTCTTTACTATAGTATACAGTGGTAGGTTTTCTACGGACTCGTCTCTCATCTGCATGTAACCTTCCAGGGACTATCCATACGCAGCGAGAGTTGCTGCCCCGCTTACGTGACCGGCGGCATCACCTATGGAGGGGGGGTTACGGATATTTTTGGGAAGGGAAAAGGGCCTGCAGCAAGGCGGATCCCCTAATAATGGCTTTCTTTCTTTCTTTTTGGTCCACGATCTATCGACAAACAGCGGGACGCGCAGGAGACGGAGACAACGAATCAACACACGCGTGCTCCATCAATCCACGGCACCTGATCTCGTGATGCTGCCCCGGGCGGTTAGGTGAGCAATGCAGGTGCCGGGTCGTCTTCCGATGGGGCTATTGGCTTGCACGATATGATGGGTGGCCGCCGCCTTTGTGCATCTGGCATCATCAACAGCTTTACTGAAAAGGCGCGCGCGCGGGGGACTTCTGCGGTGAGGACAACTTGTTTCCGTCGCGTCCTTTAGAGTTTCTGAACCCTGGCCATTGACGAATCCTGACTCTGACAGGACCTTTATTGTGCTGTCCGCGTAAAGCGCACACGCTGCTGCAAGAGCCTCCGCGCGCTTCCGCCAACGCCCAGCAATGACACACTCGGGATGGAACGGTCTGTCTAGTGGCAGTTGGCACCGACAGCAACGCAGGGGATACCGATCGCTAGCTGCAGCCCGAACTGTAAACGCATGCTTCATTTGGTCATGACACATCCACGCGTTTGGACTAAGCATGCCCCATTACGTTCCAACGCGAGGTCAAAAACGGCGGGTTAACAAACACGCCGTTGCCGTCGCGAGGAAGGGGACGGGGCCGATGAGGGCATGTCTACGGAGTAGACAGATACCTCCGCATCTTGTCATCTCACATGGGACTGCATATTCTCTTCCTGGGGATGGCCCGATATCTGCTGCCCTTCCTCGCGTCTCGTGTCTCGTGTCCTGGCAGACACGCCAGAATAAGAGAAAAGCAGCCACAGACTCACAGTGAAAGTCTGAGAGAGAGATAGAGAGAGGCCCGCGCAAGACATGCCCCCCCTGGGTCCTTCGCTTCGCCTAACCTCTTGTTCCTTCTCTCTGTAATCACGGTACGCGCAAAATGACGGCCGCCCGCCAAGTGTTCGCGGAAGCAGCGCTGCCAGATCCGGTGTGGAGAGCGTTCTCCTTTGTGGCCTAGAGCTATCATGGCTGCCATGTGGAATTGACTGACTAGCAACGGGGACAGGCTCGGGGCTTTAGGAATTTTTATTTTATTTTTTGGCCATCAAGGAACTGGGGTGTTATCGTCTGCTAGCGTCCGCCCACTCAGAGCTTCTGCTTTCAGTCTTTCAAGAGTGGCCCCCGGGGGGGGGGGGGGGGGTTTCTGGGGGATGTTCATCCGCCCGTCGGTGTTTTCGCCGCATTTGGGACGCAAAACCCGTTGATTTCGTTACGTAGCAACAAGCGCTCCTCATCTCGTTTCCACCTCGTAAAGTCGCTCAAAAGGCGTCTTCCATTTATTTCCTGGGGCTTGCCCGGGATCGGCTGACTTGCAAAAATTGGAGTGTGAGCTTGACTGTTTAGTCCTGATCGGAAATGCCATGTGGTTCGTGGCAGGGCTATCCATGAGCAGCCTATGGGTTCTTTCGAGATGATTCTTTGTCGATATTGCTCCCTCTCAATCTACCTACCCTTTTCCTTCTCCCCACTGGACCAGAATTACTGTGGATACTAACTGCCGACCGTAGGCCGGCTGACGAAGATTAAAGACCAAACTAAGACGAAGCTTCCGACACGGACGGGAAAGCAGCAAAGCCGGCCGTGTTTTTTCTTTTTTTTTCTTCCCTCCCCTTGGCCCTTTGGCGTTTGGTACGTACGTGTCGTACCGCCATCACGCAAGCCCACGCGTCCAGCTCTATCGTTGATATGCATAGTGATGGTTACCTGCTCCATACGCCTGCGGCCGACGTCTGACCAACAGGTCCCAACAAGTAACAATAATGACAATAACAACAAGGCCCTTCCCTAGGCATGGATCCCAATTCGCCAACCTCGGAATTCGCCAACTCGGACTTTCATGGGGAACTTTTTTTTCTCTTACCTCTCACATGCGTGAGAACATCTCCATCCCGCGCAGTCATGCAGATCCCATGGGGCGTACCATTTTCCTAAAAAGGTAGCCGGTCGTTGGGGGTCCGCTCACTCCCGTCCTGTCTGCCCAGCAGCCAGCTTACTTTTTAAGTACTTTATTGTGTAGTACTCCGTACACGTACTTAACCTTTTCCCCCGCCCCCTGTTCCAACAGCGCCAGCAAAGAACAAGGACAGCAAGGACTTCGGGCGACGAGTCGGAATGTGGATGATGTGGCCGGTCTGTTTTCTTCTGATCGGCTGGTGCTTTGAAGAGGGGGGGTGTAAGCACGGCACGGCTCGGCCTGGTAGCTTGCCCTTTTTTTTTTATCGACATGGTAGACCTTCAGCCATTCTTTTTCTTTTTGCCTCTTGTGACAAAAGTCTGACCAGGTTTCTGGAGGGGCTTAGGTAGGTAGGTAGGTATCCGCACTTGTCTAAGTGACCCAGGTTTTGCTGCTCGAGCTGAGCGCTTTTGTTGGCACACAAAGTCCGTATGATCATGATGTGAAGAGGCGCGTCACATGGGCTCAGTGTGATGATGTTGTTTGGAAATGCCCCGCGACGCAATTGAATTTGATCGAAACGCCCGCACAAGTATAGCGCCAGTGATGTCTGTAGCTAGCTACCTTGGGTACGGATAATGGGAATGATCTATCCCAAAGGAGTTTCCACGACCCAAAAACCCCCCTTGCCTATGGCCATAATTCAGTCTTTTCCCAGCCATTGACCCTCTCCGCGCTACCCGCCGGCGTCCCGTCGGCCTCGGCCCCGACGAACCGGTACAGATACCGCCGCGGGTCGTCCGACGCGCTCAGGTCCGTCTGATCCACCTCGGTCGGCACAATCACCACGACGCGAAAATTGCGCCGCGCGACCTCGTCCTCGAGGTCCTCGACTTTTTGCCCCAATTTCAGCGTGTCGGAGGGCGGGTTCGCCGCGCGCGAGGTGCCCGGCGCCGGGTTCCGGAACGTGCCGCGCATCGCGGGGCTCAGGTTCCCGAAATGCGCCGTGACTTCCCGGGAAAAGGTCCAGTTGTTGTCGTCGTCGTCTGGGGCTACGGTCTTGCCGGGGGGTATGTCTTGCTCGCGGCGCCTTTTGACGTCGGCTGGGGTGACGCGGCGCATGCGGGCGAGGAGCGTTTCGCGGACGTGTTGCGCGGTGCTACTGCTGCTGCTGTCGTCAATGTCTGGGCCGAGGAGGTAGGCTTCGCCGCGGACGCGCCATTGGACTTTGGCGTCGGTCCAGAAGCAGGCCTCGACGGGGCCGCCGCCTCCGCTGCGGCTGCTGCTGCTGGAGGAAGAAGAAGAGGGTGGACTGAAAAAGTCTGGGACTTTTGCCATGCGGGCGTCCGTTGTCAGGGTGAGGAGGTCGGATTCGTAGAGGGGCGGATTGAGGTCTGCGGTGTTTTTTGGGTTGACGGGGAGGGAGGCCCAGAGGCCGCGGAAGATGACGGTGCGGAGGCGCGGGGTGACGGAAGCGGAAGAGGAGGAGGAGGAGGTGCTGTTGCTGCTGCTGCTGCTGCTGCTGCTGCTGCTGCCGGCGTGGAGGGTTGCGAGGTTGAATTCTGGTGAAGCCATTTCGGTCACGTTTTTGAGAAAGGCGGCGCGCCAGGGCGCTGGGCCGGGGGAGGCCTTTGCTGTTGACGGTGATGATGACATTGTGCGCGATGAGGATGGGTGGAGGTGTTGGGTGAGTTGGGTTATGCGGCGGTTTGTTAGGTTTCGGGCGGGATTCATGGGCTTTGGGTTGGGGTTGTGGGTGCGGGCGATGATGTATGATGATGGGGTTGATGGAGGTGGGTGAGATGTTTTTGAGAGTGAGAGATATTCAGTGTGAGGTTGAGAGGTGAGAATGTCGTGTGAGGTTTTTGAGACGTTGCTTGAGGTTAGGTGGTCCTTTTTTTTTTGGTCTATGATTCATCATCGGACCACCTGCTACCTTGCGCCATTCTCCCAAGCAGGATGGGGATTTTGTAGATTCGTTCTAATAAGGTAATTTTATGAGAGCATATTCAGATCTTTTGATATCTCATATGATTGCAAACTGAATTTGAATGTTGCCAGCAATGAAATTCATGACTATGCTGTGACTTTTGGCGGGGTTGTCGCGGCATCCTCCGCTGGCGTAATGACGTCGGTGAGTGTATCTGAAAGGCTCAGGTAGGTGGCTTCTTAGGGGAGGAATTGGCAAAACAGTGTTTTTTATTTGGTGTTTTAGTGTTCTGCCGTAATCTTCCAGATTAATTTACCTAATTTCGCACTCACTTTTCACTATTTCTTCTTGGGATGTACTTAAAAACACTTGGGAAAGGGAGCCTCGGTACGGCCTTGGGTGTGATTTTGAGAACTCAGCATCTAGTCGCTCCGTCCTCACAATCACTCACGATTTATCCTCACGACTATAGTAATAAGTAAATAGATATCCTCAGTTCTAATCTCGGGCTCGGCTTTCATGTATATCTACAAAGTTAACAACTGTCAAGTGGTCGCCATCGGTTCTTGTCCACATGTCCTTCGCTGCAGCCATGTCGCGGACCCCCTCCCCCTCTCTAACGCAACAAGCTTTTGGGTGTAATGAACAAGCTAAGTATTAGATGTCGTGATTGAAATCCGAACTTGGGTCTTCCGTCTCTACAAGTTGCCTAATCATTAGGGTGAATCACGGATGAGATTTGGATTTCAAGCTCACCCTCGAGGTCCTTACTCACAGTCCCAGTATCCTGAGAAGATGCCTGTCCATTCGATCTTGTTCGTGTTTCTGTCGCTTTGGACTCGGAACCATTTTCAACGTTGCATTTCAAAAACTTCTTCCAGCCCTCAGCCAAATGCGGGACTTTGGAAAACATCTTCGTCATGTCATTTTCAAAATCTAGATGAGAAATTCTGTGAAGTCGTCAATCAAGCAAGCACACAAATAGTTACAGTTGATAATTTGAATATTAACATACTCTTTCCTGTTATATTTCATGATCTCTTCAACCAAAGCTTGGTAAAGCCTGGGTTTGCCATGATATACTTCAGTCAAAAACTCGAGTCCATTTTTGTACAATGGACCAGGGCTCATGTCAGCCCCAGGGCTACCTGCTGCTTCATCTTGTTGGTTTCCATCTGAATACTCAGTTTCATCGTCGAAATAACGTTGAAAAGGGAGAGCGGCAAGAGAGATCTCCTCAAGATGACCTCCAAGGTGTTTGACAATAGCAGTCTTGCCCTGGCCAGTGTCGTCTCGGCATAGTGGACACTCAGCTCCTTTCCATTGGGGATCAAGTTCATGGTCAAGAGCGAGGTGCGAAACCCAGTCTTGGTGACTGCTGAAGACGTCCCTATGCGTACATGAAGATTCCAGACACTGCCAAGGCCTCAAGTCCTTGAACAAGTGCCGTTTCCACGAAGCCATGTCGATCGCAACAGTAAGTTTACCGCATGCCACACACAGAAATGCTTTTCCCTGCGCAGCCCCCTTCGGTAAGGGTGGCAAGCGTACAGGAGTCCCTTCACCGCCGTGGTATGACACGATGGTCTCGGCGTAAGATGAAGGAACAGATGACCCAAGGCCAGAATCCAGGAATTTGGAACTTGCGGCGTCCGAATCTTTGATCTGAGCCGGTAGAAGAGCCTCATTCGGATCGCTATCACCTGGAGCCACCATTTGAATGTTTCTTTGTTCTTGTCCTCTCAAGAATCGCTCATAGTTGGCCTTTGCAAGACTGGTAATGAGATCCTCATTTCCTTTGGGAAATCGCGTTTTGATGATTTGCTTGAAAGGCACATGCGGCGCCCATGTGTACAAAGACGGGAGAATGTGTTGACTCTCATGGTCCATGTCGAAGATGGGGTCAGAGAATGAGACGTCGAGGTCCCTCAAACCGCTGGTGTCTGTTTCCAAGTCTGCTGTGATTTGAATTTTAGGGTCAACGCTTGGCCATGTGCCTAAAGACAGGAGAAAGCGTTGACTCTCATGCTCCATGTCGAAGATGGAGTCAGAGAATGAGACGTTGAGGTCCATCAAATAGTTAGCGCCTGACTCTAAGTCTACTGTGATTTGCTTGGAAGGCTCATGCGGCGCCCATGTGTGCAAAGACGGGAGAATGCCTTGACTCTTATGGTCCATGTCGAAGATGGGGTCAGAGAATAAGACGTCGAGGTCCATCAAACCGCTGGTGTCTGTTTCCAAGTCTGCCGTGATTTGATTGATATCGTCATCGTCGTACTCGGATGAGCCAGCCGAAGATTCATTTTTTGGTTGGTAGTCTTCAACCTCTTGGATGAGTTGCCGCAGCTGTTCTACCTCATCCTCAAAACTGTCTGAAAGCGGCTTCTTTCCCCAAAGGCCCGAAACTATGAGCCCTAATTATGGGACAAGATGATCAGCTTCCATTTAATTATGAGGAAAATGTTGGAAGTTTCATCGAAGAAATGCACACTCACTCTCGGTAAGAGTCAAACCGATACTACTTAGAATCTTGAGTGTTGCACGTCGTAACCGACTAGATTGCTCGAAGATATCATCGAAGCCTCCACTGGAAATTCTGTATCCGTCTGACCAGAGCCGAAGTCTGTCGAGGCTCCTTCCAAGACTGACAGAATATGGCTGCGACTCTAAGCCTGCCTTGGCTCCGTCAACTATACTTCTATTGATGTATTGAAAGACAGCGATCGTATCTTTCGTCAGCCGTGCCACGAGACTTGCTCCCGTGAGAGGGATCTCCCCGACCGCCGCGTTAAGGAACAAGCGAAGAAGATATTTTGGGTCAACGGCCCTTTTATTTCTCAGAGAGTCCATAATCTTTCAGTTGAGGAGATGGCTGTGGAAGATGCTCAAGAACGCGAGAGCGGCAGGCGAGAGCGGGGTATTTCTGAACAGAATCGCCAGCCTGCTTCGTTGAGGCGTCTTCATACCTCGGCCAATGAGCCGACACCTCTTGCCGCCTGCCATCAATGATGTCAGCCATGGTGCCGATTGCTTTATCATCTCAGTTCGAGGTGAGGGAAACAGACCCCTCTTTTTAGGAGCAGACCATCATCTGAAAGCTCTGAACAATTGTATCAATGGATCCAGTCTCTTTGACCTTGGGCTTGTTGCCGTTGGTCGGCGGAGCGATCAAGGCATGCTGTGTCGTCCGCAAAAAATCCAAGATATTTCGCCACTACTCACGAGAGTTCCGGCGTATCCACACGCAAGTCGACCGCCAACGGCACTTCTTTACCAAAGAGATACACCGGCTACTTCGACGAACGGTTGAGGATGAAGAGACAATTAGGTTGATGCTCGGGGATGAGAACAATCCGCAATGGCACAGCAAACATTTCGAGAAAGGAATGAGAAAAGCACTAGGCACGGACTATGACGTCTGTCAGGGCGTGATCGAGGACATCACCCGCACAATGCGAGACTTCCAGAATGAGTTTCGCTGCTTCGATGAGCTGACGGCTGAATGCCAACAGGCAAGTGGAAGGCGACAAAGAAAACCAGTAAGCGCAGGGACTAACGTGACTTTACAAGTACAGGACGAACCTTTGAAAGATGCTGTTCGCCGCCTTCGTGGACGATTCAAAATCGCACTGGACGAGTCTAGGTTCGAGAAACACATTCAAGATCTGCGGGATTCCATCGAAGACCTCAGACATCTCCGATGGGAAGATCCTGAGCTGAAGCGAAAAAAGAATGAGACCACTGCAACCAAGAGATTAGGCCAAGAATATGGAGATTTCTGCGAGGTCAGGAGGGCATCAAAAGCCTTTCACGAAGCCCTTGCCGCAGCCTGGTCGACCTTGAGTGATTCCACGGGGGTAGTCAACATGCGCCATACTGTTCGACTGTTCCTAGAAACCAAAGTCGAAGACGATGTTCAGATGCATGTTGAAATATCCTGCGTGGGGCATGAGCATGCCAATAGGTGAGCATTTTTCTTGATTAGGCCGCCGTTGTAAATTTGCAGGCATGCTGAAGATCGCAGGACTTTGGCCCAGGAAAACTTAGCTAGAATTTTGGTACGATCACAGATGCGAACCTGGATCAATAATGAAACGGACGCCCTCACGTCAACCGCGCCCGATTCAGACGACAACAATCGAAAGAAACGAAGAAAGGTTCGTTTTTCGCAGGATGTACGAGAGGAAACCATCAAAGACGAAGATGCCTCTCTTACAATGAGGAATGTTCATCATTACCGAGGCTCATCAGTCAACTTGTGTTCCAAAGGTCTCTGCCTAGCGTTGAAGAGCATTTTCAATTTTGCGTCAGAAGGAGACTGCAGCAACGAATGCATAGGGTACATCGACAGTTCATCGCAAGACCCCTACCGACACTCGCTGTACCCCGGATTCGTGGAGAGTAGCAGCCAGCTTGGTATCCAATGGCCGGCAACGGCTACGTCTCAAGCCCTGGTGTCAATGAATGACGTGTTGGCGACTCCCGCCGAGTCCACGCTTTCCATCATAGACCAACTCAAACTAGCCCGTGACATGGTGAGCACGGTGCTCAAGTTTTACTCGACGCCATGGCTCAGAGAGTACTTCACCCTGCGGGACCTGTCCTTCTTCCAGATGAACGGAGACTTTTCCAGGTGTCTTCGGACCCTCCACCTGGGTTTCGAATTTGTTCAGTCATCCGCTTCCAGCCTGCCACGGCGCATGGATGGAATAGAGTCGACGAACGAGCAAGAAAGCGGAGGTGGCGGGCTCAAAGAGGCAGAGACCGCCATCGAGCGGGCGCAATTAGAGCACGGCATACGTAACCTGACACTCTGGAGTCTCGGCATCACTCTGCTTCAGATTGGACGGTGGTCGAGCTTGGAGGCCCCAGACGACGTTCTCAGCGTCCGGAGGCTATCACGACAGGTCCCTCCCTTGGGACCAAAGTTTCGGGACCTTACCAGGAAGTGTCTAGAATGTGACTTTGGGTTCGGCGATGACCTGTTGAAGCCGCGGTTGCAGCAGGCGGTGTACCAGAGTGTAGTCTGCGAGCTGAGTGAGATGATCAAGAGCCTAGATGTCAGCGATGCTTGACGTCACTGGATCTTGTGGTTTTTGGTAGAATTATGGAGACTGGGTATGTAGGGTCATCCCGCTGCTATCATCGCTGTTGCTTTTGCGATGGATGGTATTGCTGTTGTTGTTATCGCCGTCACCAAAGATCACCGTCTTAACTTTGCAATTGTGTCAACAAAGGGCTCAGTGGAATCACTCTTGGGACGAGAAGCTTCATGTTCCACGTCTCAATTGTTTACGGTCAAGAAAACCCACACTCGCCTTCCACAAGGCTGCAAAAATGTGATGTCAGCTGGCTTCATAAGACTTGAATGCTCACAGTCCAGTCAATGCCATTTTCGGACAGTCAGTCCAATAACATTTGATCTTAGCTGACGTATTTGCGACGTATTTCTCTCGGAGCCGTCGAGTTCCAGATTCTTCAAATAGTAAAGTGTCTTCGGAATGTTGTGTACAAGATGAAATCGATGCTGCTCATAGTTGACATCCGTCTCGGTTCCTTCACAAACCGACAGGCTTAGCACGCACCTCGTCACTTTTATTATGCCTTTCCCATGTGGCTCTTATCAATACGCTGGGAATATGTAGGATTTTCTTTCGCAAGATATGCTAAGGGAGGTTGCTTATGAGAGTAATGTATCCTCCCTGCCCCTGGCACCACTTCACAGATACCACCGGTTGCGGAGATCAAGACCTTCTGGTTAACACAACCTTCACTGCTCGTCAATTTCATGTCCTCACAAGGTACCCATCATACCTCATGGAGGTAATGTACTTCAGGGTGCCTTACCTTGTTACCTTGAGCGACCTCACTCACCAGCTGTCTCTCCATATATATCTTGAGACGCATTCTTAGCACCAACTGCTTCTTGGTCTCCACATCATACACGCCCATGAAAGCTTTCTACGCTTGATCAAAGTCAGTATGGAGCCTGAGATATATCACCAACTCTCCAGAACGCTAGAGAGCTTTAAAAATTCCAAGATCACCATCGTGGAATGGGAGACTCCTCTGCTTATCCGTTTAGGCTATCACCTCGCGTCTAAACCGGCAAGCTACTGGTCCTACCTTATCCATGACCTCTCACTAGCTTCGATCACAGCACTTGACATGTCTGGTCCTGGATCATCAAATTCAAAAAGCGAATGAAGCGAATGACATCGCCAAAGTCAGATTTTCCGACGGCATATCTCTCCTCCCATCGCTCTTGCCTGAAGTGGTCAAAAGAAGGCTCGGGACGACGAGGATAGGCAGTGGAAACTAGACCATACAAGACGAGATTAGTGAGATCATATCGGAGGCTATCTCAGCTCTGAAATGTGTGCATCAGTAACGTGAACGGCAATTAACGTTGGAGAAAAGGCAATGATACAAGATGGAAGATACGGCTAGGTGTCTCCCAGTAATCTTTACATTTACATTCGTTTATCTCATCTCGATTCATCCGTACATGACGTCTACTGCCGGGTGAAACCCCTAATCCAGACCCGGCAGCCACCCACTGGTATCCAACGAATTCAAACCCTCAAAATTAGGACTCGCCGTATCCTCAGACGATTGCCTCGGCGGCTGCATAGCCCCGTTGCCGCTCGAGAACATGAACAGTTGATCGCTCGCCGGCATCCCGCCGCCGGGCTGGGCCGCCATATTCCACGCCTCAAAGTTCTGGTGCCACTTGGCGCCATCGTTGAGGAACCAATCCTGGTCCAGTCCCTGGAAGACCTGGCCGGGTGATAGTTGCCGGGCGCTGGCGGGTCCGGTGCGGGTATTCTGCGACGGGGCGAGGGTGTGTGTGTTTTGAGGGGCAGTGGTCATTGTGTTGAAGCGTTGTTGCTGGTACGTCGGTATTGACTGGGCGAGGCCTGCTTGGGACCATCCGCCTAGGGAATTCGGCCCTATGCCCATTCCGGTACTGCCGCCGGCGTGAGGTTGATGAGACGTCGGTCTCGCCATCAGCAGATCCGTCGGGCTGGGCGCCGCATCCTGATCGCCGGACTGCGGCTGTGCCGCATACTGGTTGAGCGGGCTATACTGAGCCGGCTTCCCCCCCATCACCGGCGACACGGGCAACTGCGTTGGCGAAGGCGACGACGCAATAGTAAGATTCGAGTGCGGGGACGGCACGTCCGACGTACTAAACGTGCCGTACGTCTCGTCCGTCCGCTTAAGCACGGCCTCGGCCTCGTCGGGCAGCTCGACCTTCCACTTGCGCGCTAGTACGCTGATGATGCTCAGGGTGCGGCGCGCACACAGCCAGTCTTCGGCGATTTCCTCGAGGTGCTTCACGCCGTGGATGATGTCGCGCTTGGCCGTCTTCTCGGGCAGGTTGAGCATGTGGATCGTGCAGGCGCTGTGGACCATGTAGACGGCAATGTTGCAGATCTGGCGCAGGTTCCACGTCTTCTTGTAGAGGCGCATGAGCTTGGAGATGGCGCCCGCGTTGGCGGTGCAGATGCGCCGCGGGGAGACATGGGATGGGAGGGGGGATGCCGCTGGTGTGTATTTCAGGAAAGGGCGGAAGAGGTGGATGTACTGGAGGTGGAAGAACATGCTTGGTGTGTGGTGTCAGCATCAAAGGTGCCCAAGGAGACTTGTTGGACTTACTGCACGAGGATCACGTTGGGAAGTTGTCCTTCCTTGGGTTCCAGTTCGTTTGGTAACTCTTTTCGCCAGTCCTCCAGCCTGCGGTGAAGCTCACTCAGCTTCTTGAGCTCGACAGATTTCCCACTCGAGCGGCCAATGTGGTTCGGATGATAAAAGAATAAAAGCAAATCACTGCTTATCTCACACAGCTTGGAGAGCTGCAATCCCACGGCTCGTGTCCTCGATGGCTGACTGCTTGTCTGATCGAACCCGGTATCCGTATACGGCGCCCACAATTCGGCATCCTCAGAGGGAAAGACGTCGTACTTTGGCACGTTGTACGAGTTCTTTGGTATCTGCGGTAGGCGGCCCAGGTAGTTGGACCAGGCCTTGTCAAAGAGGAAGCACCCCCAAAACGTCATCCGCCTCGCGTCGACGGCGTGCTCGCCGAGGTTCTCCTTGTCGTTGGACAGACCGCCGTCGTCAAAGTTGAGGCCAATGTCCTGGGCCATCCGGAAGGCCATGCCCGAGTACACCCAGCCTTTCGCCTCCCGGCCGCAGCCGGCCTCCCGGACGGACATGAGCGCCAGGGCCTGGACGGTCGTGAGCTTGGGCCGCTCGTACTCGTCGTTCTCGACAATGAGGCGCTTCGCCTCGGCGAAAAAGTGGTCGCCCTTTGTGCGGCTATCCCCCGGTGTCCCGTACGCCCCTGGCACGCTCGTAAAGTGACACCCAAGGGATAACATGGCGTTGACTAGGAGTGGTGAGCAATAGATAGTGCCTTTGTAATTTAGCCCGTGCTTCCCTTTGAAAAAGTCACGGTAGAATAATGTTTTGGATAATGTCGTGAAATATGTGTAGTGCCAGTTGAAGTACATGTTCATGAGGTGGGCGATGAGTTGCTTATCTTGGGAGACTCTCGTCCAGCTGGTGACGGGGTCCTCATTGGTGAGGTTCGTGTCGGACTCGGGCTCGTTTGTGTTGGCGTCGCCCGAGTCGCCGAGGTAGATGAGATGAGATGTGCCTCCGATGAAGCGTACTGAGCCGTTTTCGAGGCGTAGCTCACCCATCTTGCGGGCGAGTTCCCTCTCACCCTCGACGGGCATGTCGATTGTGTATCCGTCGTCTCCGTTGTCATTGTCCTCGGCTTCCTGAATCATAGCCTCATGTTTCAAGATCTGCTCGGCGACGGTGTCGAGGCTGTCGCAGGTCCTGATCCTCTTCACAATGTCGGGAACCTCGTCCTCGTTGGCATTGAGGATGGCCTCGATGAGGATCTGAAGGGTCGAATTGCGCGCCTTCATGCTGTCGACCTTTTCCTTGTAGACGCCCTTACGGCGGTGGTCTGAGTTCGGATCATAGACGCACTCGGTACCGTAAACGCTGGCGCACGCAGCGCAGCTGGGTACGGCTCCGTCGCATTTCGATTTCCTCCGGCGGCACGCGATGCATGCCGTGCTCACGCAGCGCCGCTTCTGTGACACCGAGTCGCCTCCCCTGCGCGACGACTTCTTCTTAGCCGGCGGTGGCGCAGAGGACGAGGAAGATGATGGTTCCGGGAGATTGGTCAGTGAGCTGCCAGAGTTGGACAACAGGACATCTTGTTCGTCCATTTTCTCTCTCGTGCTGACAATTGAGATAACGGTAACGCGCCGGAGGGAATGACCGGAGATGCTCAGTCCAACTCAGATGCGGTGCGCGGAGATGTGGAAATCTGATGGGGACAAAGCCCCCGGGGGCGGGGTGGATGCGACGGCTGCAGCAGCTGAAATGACAGCCAGGGGGACCCCCCCAAACGGAGCAAAAGGAACAAAAGACTGCGAGACAACGATGCCCGATACCGATGGAGGGGAAGTATAGAGACGGGACCGAGAAACGTGGAGAGAGAGACGGGGGAGGGGTGGTTCACGGACTGCGGGCGTCTCTCACTCCACCGTCAATGTTGTAGGTACCCTGTCGTCGAGATAAAGAAGCGGCAGGCGATTGGGCGTGCAGGGCATGCGGGCTGGCGCGCTGTCTGATGACGACGCGAGGGAGTCGAAGAGGGCGCCTTGGCTTCGATGACGGTAGGCTTGAAGATTGACAGGTTGCCGTTATCTCATGGGTGATGGGGCAGATAGGCGCTATTCACGAGCTTGCAGTCCTGGATTAGCTAGTCTTGAGTTGGTGACGGTGATGGATGCTCATGAAGTGTCTGGTATACAGTCATCAGAATGCGAGAATCCTCATTGAAAAGCCGACTGAGAATATCGACTGGGCTGGAAACCAGCTCACTCCTCGGGGTAATGCAAATCGGCCGCATCTTTGTCGCGGGCTGTTCGGGGGGGATCTAATGGCATTGTTGCACGTATGTATCGGCTATTTGCATATTACGTACAAGGAAAGGGCGGCACGTGGGCGTTCTTCCCTCAAGCAGCTTATGTGTGAGATGAGGGTGGCCGTGTCAATGGCCACGCTAGGAGGGGCGATTGGACGGTTCGAGAGCGGCCGAAGCGGATGAGTAAGTTAGCGCCGGCGCCGGTGAGAGGCGTATCGCAGGTCAGTCTCTGAGAAATGCGAGATGAGAAATCCAAGACGTCTGACTCGACGGCTGTGGCCGGAATACACAGAGCCGGGCGGATCGTTGGGTGCGGCGTGCCGGCGAGCGATTTGCTGTGGTGGAGAGGAAGATCCGGCCTAGGCCCGTTGTTCCGGCGCAATGTCTAGGTACTCAAATCCGGGATTACTGCGTGAGGACGCCGGCAAGTTCGAAGGAAAAGAAGATACTGGGCCTTGCGTCCAGCTGTGGTTTCGGCAACGGGATGGCACTCTTGCAATTCTAACAGGGAGCAACTATGAACTCTCTTTCGTGTGCCTGCAATTGCGGATTTGCTGACAAGACGCCTTCTGACTGCTGGAGACGACTTGAATACCTCCGCGGCCCGTCACTCCACGAATTAGGAAGCGAGCTGGGGAGAAGGGAACAACCTGGTCACCTTGCAATGCACCTTGCGCACCAAGAAGGCAAATGTGTCGGTGTTAACGGTCATAATCTATGTTGAAGTCCTTTCGTAAGACTTTCTCAGCTCGCTCGATTGACTTTGTGTTTGAATCCTCTATTGTTGTGAGCCTTGGCACCGCTGGTGAGGACCCCTCTCGAACTACCGAAAGCCACCACAAATCTGCCCAGCTAAGGTACAATATCATTCAACGAATTCCGCCTTGGATTTTTGAAGTATTATTTCAGAAGTAGTTGTCAGCCTTTGAAGACGTCTCGAATGTGTCCATGGCAAGCTGCTTGATAATGCAAAACTCGAAGAGACAGTTGATAGGCGTGACAATTTTCTCACTGCGGACGAATGGCTTCATTAAGGTACCTTACCTTAAGTAACTGAGTCACCCGAGATCCGCTAGCGCATGACACTTTTGAATTAAAGTCTCGCTAAACTGTGCACGTGCCATATGCCCCGCTGCCCTCGCACCCCACCATCGGTCTGATCTGTGCGCGCGGGGCTCCTTCCCGGTCATGGAACGGCCCTCGCAATGTTGAAGAACACCCGTCACTTTGTCAAAATGCCTGTATACAATTTGGCTCCAACGCCGATCAATTGGCTACTATTCGTCGACTCTACCATCTAGAGATTGGTTCTCAACTCACCAGACAAGAACAAGCGTGAACGCCCCATTCGTCCTCTGCCACAAGACCCCAAAGAGCAGTGACCCCTTTACCTCAAGAAACTCGAGAAACCCGGGAGCTATGACCACTACCCGTCAACTCCAAACCTGAACAGTAATTACCTATACGGATCTTTACCAGAGACTTATTGCGGTGACCCGATGGCCGAGGCGCTCACCGTAATAGAGGTCGCCCTCTGCATCACCGAAGTGGTCGAACGCCTCTGCAAATACGTTTCTGCAGTCAAGAACGCCAAAGATGACATCCGCAAGCTCACCCAGGAGCTCCTCGCCCTCAAAGGCGCAATGGACCACTTCCACATCCAAAATGAACAGAGCCTAGACAACCCGCTGCAGGAACAGGCCCGTTCCATGCTCAAGATGACCCAGGAGACCCTCGACGCCATACGAAAGAGGCTCGGCACGCCAAAGACCTCGTCCCTGGGCCGCGCCATCCAGGGTCTGGCCTGGCCGTTCCGGCAGGACGACATTGAGACGTACTTTGCCACCGTTGAGAGGGCCAAGACGTGGTTCATAATGGTCCTCATGCGGGACTCGCTCGACACCACTACCTGTGTTTTCACTGAGATGCAGAAGCTAGCGGCGCTTGTGCATGAGGACATTGTCGCGCGGAGGACGGATCGGATGCTGGAAGAAACGGCCGATTTGTTAAAATGGTTATCACCTGTCGACAGCGAGGACAAACTTGTCAGTTCCAGGCATGATCGCGCGCCTGGCACGGGCAAATGGATATTCGATGTTTATTTCTTGGACTGGAAAAGGGGCAGTCCGACGGAGTGCCCTATATTTTGGATCACGGGACGGTGTAAGTCGATTCATTCCATGCCCAAGGCATGTATGGCGCCCGACTGACACGTCAAACAGCGGGATCTGGTAAGACGGTGCTCTTGTAAGCCAGACTCTGACATTGCCCGTGCCCAACTGACTGATATAAGCTCACAACTCGTCGAGGAGCTCCGGACGCAACCCAACGCCAAAATGCTGGAAAAAAGCAGTAATGTCGGCGTCGGCTTCCACTGCTGCTCACTAGACGATGCGGCGTCGCAAGCCGTCCCAAATGTCTTTGGCTCCATCTTAGCCCAGATAGGAGCGACGAACCCCAGCCTCCTCGACCATGTCCGGCCGCTAAGGAAGTCTGGAAATTCTCTGATCCCGCAAAATAATTTGTCCGTCGAGCAGATTTATGACATGATGGGAGAAGCTCTCGAGCTTTTTGACGTCTTTTATCTCATGATTGATGCTCTCAATGAGACATGCCACGAATCTGTCATTGTCAAGGCTCTTTTGCACCTCTGCTCGAGGCACCCCAATCTTCGGGTACTGGTTACGTGTACGCGAGAGCCGGCACAGCCTGTTCCCAGTATCTATGTCAGACATATGAGCACACGATTCATAGATCTTGATATCGAGGTGTACGTGGAGAAAAGGCTCTCGACCGAACACAGTTTCCAGTCGCTGAGCACCACAATCCGAGCTGAGATCAAGGACAAGGTTATATCAGAAGCGGATGGGACGTGCGTACCTACTCTGAATAAATCCGAAGTGGTCGTAGCTTACGGGACAGTAGATTTCGATGGGCCAAATTGTGCATGGATAGGCTTAGCTCTCTTCGTACTGGAAGAGATGTGCGGCGCGCACTGGTCGATATCCCGTCCACACTGAACGGATTCTACGCCGGTATCCTCACTCGCGTACCGCAACAAGACCGGACGATTGCTCGCAAGGCTCTTGCGTGGCTTTGCTTCTCTCTCCGTCCCCTTCGTCTCGACGAGCTCGCCGAGGCCGTTGTCCTCGAGGATGAAGACGTTGACATCGACGACGACAGCCGACTCACCGACCACTCTATCATTCTCGAAATCTGTCAGGATCTGGCCCACGCAAGCGACCATTTCGTCACTCTTGCCCACGACTCCATCCGCACTTTCCTACAATCGGAATGGATACGGTCCTCTGCTGCCTCAGAATACGCGCTCGACGCCGCTGCCTGTCATCAAAGAATCATGCACAAGTGTCTCACCTATCTCAAACTCGAGCCATTCATGTCAGGACCCGTGGATAAGATACGGCACGTCGACGCCAGGTTCGCAGCATACCCGCTGCTCGACTACGCCACGAACATGTGGCCCATCCACTCCGAGCGCTTCCCCCTCTCAGACGGAGACGAGAAGCTCATTCTCGACTTCTTCGACACCAAGAAGCTCTTGCACGGCGGCCCTTTTGAGGCGTGGGTGCAGTTCCTCCTACACTCGGCGGACCTGGACGTCATCCGGGACACAGAGCCGCTCTACTACGCTGCGTCGTTTGACATGACGTCCATCCTGCAATTGATACTGAGGCCAGAGTACAAAGTTGACCTTGATAAGAGAGGCGGACGGTTCTCTTCGCCTCCACTGTTCGTGGCGATCTGGAGAGGAAATATCGAGGCTGCCAAGTTGCTGGTTAGGGCCGGGGCGGATTCGGACATGCGTGATACGAGCGGGCAGACTAGTCGGAGTCTTGCCAAGGCCCGGAAGCACAGCGAGGTTGTCGAGCTTATGGATGAGATGACTCTGATTCAGACAAAAAAGCCGGCGACCCGGCCAGCGAATGGGAACTCAGGTGCAAGCAATGAGTGGGCAGAGGACTATGCTCTCGCCCAAGCTAAACTGAGAAGCTTTCGGGATGGGAGGCACTGAGTTAATGATGTTGGCGATGGTCATTACCGCCCTTCAGTGAATGCCTCGTTTAGACAAAGACATCCATGCTGAAGCATCGAGGGCAGGTATAGCTCTGCCGGGATTATTTGACGCCAATCCAAGTTTCTGGACAGTCTTTCCAAGCAACATTCGTTGAGCAGGAGCAGTGACCATATAACAAATGGTACATGTTTCTGGGCTGGGATTGTTCGCTCTGGGGTCTGTAGCTTGGGGAATGTGGTGGTAAGAATGGACGCACTGTCAAACCGAAGCCGGTGGAAAGAGAGAGGTGCTTAAAGGTGGAGACACCGCCAGTCAATGCCGTGGCGGAGGCCGGGCCTCTCCTGCAAGATTACTAAGCCTGGAGATACCCCCACCACAAACGTCACGTCTTCCCGATGAAGGATACCAAACCTGCTTCATTCCGAGCTCGAGCAGTGCCCTTTCTGTGACCCCAACAACCTAATCCAGCACCCCTTCGCCTCTCTCCTCTAATTTCTGTCTCCCTCTTTTTCTTTTCTTCTCACTCCGCAACAGTAGCGATCGACCGGCATTTTGTTCACTTTCGTCGTGGCCTCAGGAGAAATGCACATGCTCCAACTGGCAATAGTACTTGGCTTAGCTTAGGTACGTCTTTTCCTGTCCCTCAGCTTAATCACCCGCCCCCAAAGTGGAAGCTGGTCCCAGGCACGAATTACATGCCAAACACAGACCCTACAGGGGCACCTCTCAAGTCTGCTCTCCACTGGTCATGCTTCTTGGTTTGTTCAAGCAGGCTGTGGTACTGACCCCGTTTACACCAGGCTTTCCACACTCATCTAAGCGTGTTGCTCTCACACTGGTTACTTACTGACCTAATACAACGCTGTCCTACCGCACCTTCCGTTCTCCACCGATAACGTCCCCAACATCGGTTCGACTGACATCTGCGTTCTACACCAACACCAACTTTGGATTGCGCTCGCTCCAGCTTTTTGGGCATTCCCTCGAGAGCCTTCTTCTTTACTCTAAACGAGACCTTGGGCTATCGCGAATCAATAGCTGAACGCGCGTCAGAGCTTCAGCGCCTATTACTTCGCTAAATTGTGACCTTGCCCACCAGCTTCCGCCACCTAAAACCGACTTCTTAAATCATTCAGTCTGGCGTTCCGAGCTCTTCGCGCTGCCGGCCTTGCTGTTGGCCTTGGTTTCACAGCCCTCGCCGCCTACAATCGCAACCAGGAGGAGATGGACTCCCACGCCACGAGAGGTGGACACCTGGATGCTTCGGGTGGCCGGGAAGTGGTCTACTGCCATGCCTGCTCGCACGAGTGGTGGCAAGATGAGCATGGCCTGCCGTGCCCTCGCTGCGACAGCGAGATCACAGAGATTGTACGCCACATGAATTCGTCTCCTTCTATCGCACCTGCTGACGCGCGGCCAGGTTTCCCCGGAGAACGATCCCAGAGAAATTGAAGACGGTCCCCCGCTCCACGACTCCCCGGGCCATCCACGCAACATATACGACGACGATTCAGACCCCGAAGAGGCCGACATAGAGGAGCATTTGCACCGCGGTCCAGGCGGGTTCGTGATACACCGAACAATATGGGACAATTCTCAGCGCCCGGGACAGAGTCCAAACCCAAACACTCGCCAACCGGCCGATGCGAACGACGGCGACCAAATTATCCGACGCTTCATCGACATGGTGAATGGCTTTGGCCCGGACATGCCACCGCGACCTCCCCACGAGACCCGACCCCCTGGCTTCGGCGGTGGAGACATCTTTGGCGGTCAGGGCAATGTTCGCAGATTCCAGAGAACAGGCCCTGGAGGCACCACGAGCTTCACAATCGCCACCGGACCTATCCATATTCACCAAGGAGGAGCCAACTCGCCCGTTGGACCTGGAAGCGACCCCTTCCAGTCGTACGTCCGCCTCGTCCCCCGTGGCCAGCCACGATCTGGACCTCGAATCACAGTCGTTTCCATTAGAACGAATGCTGACCAACTTCCTAGTATCTTCAGCAGCGTCCTGGCTGGAGCGGGCCCACCTCAACCGGCCGGTATGGGCGCGAGTCCGGGACAACGCGCAGCTGGCGGAGCGCCTACACTTCTCCATGAGATTCTCAACATGCTTAACCCAGCAAACGCCTCACATGGTGATGCCGTGTACACCCAAGAGGCTCTGGATCGGATCATTTCCCAGTTGATGGAGCAGAACCCGTCGTCGAACGCAGCGCCCCCGGCAACTGAAGATGCGCTCAGCAAGCTCCAGCGCAAAAAGGTGGATAAGGAGATGCTTGGCCCCGAGGGCAAGACTGAGTGCACAATCTGCATCGACGATTTTAACGAGGGTGATGATGCCACAGTGCTGCCCTGTAAGCATTGGTTCCACGACCAGTGCGTCGTCATGTGGTTGAAGGAGCACAATACTTGCCCGATATGTCGCACGCCGATCGAAGAGCCCAGCAGCAGCAGCAACAACAATAATGCCAATGCGGGTGGCTCAAACAGCGGCGGAAACAACAACAATAACAACCCCTCACAACGCGGCCTGGGAGGAGCACCTGGCTCATCAGACAGCTCTCAAGACCCGTTTGGCTGGGGTGGTGCCCCACCGGGAATGCCGAGACATTGGGGAGGCACAATGAGAATGTCACCTCGGTCGGCGTTCTTCGACGCGACTCCTCCGGTGCCCGCCGACTCCACGAGACCTCCGAGAACACCGGGGTCTGAATCCTACGGTGGCTACGGGGCCTCCACCACAGGCCGCGACGACCTGCACCGTCCTCAGGAGACAAGCCGAATACCCAGCTTCCGATCGGCGAGGCGGGACTCGCATTCGCCTCCAAGCCTTCGCCGGCACCAGTCTGATTCTTTCCGAGCTAGGCAGCGGAGTCCTTCGTCTGGTAACTGGGATAGAAGCCAGGACAGTAACCAGGACGCCGGATCTAATCATGGTCCGCTTAATTGGCTGAGAAACCAGTTTTCTAGAGGATCGGGCTCGGGGGACAGCAGCCAGCGCGAGAGACGGAGACAGTAAATTGGTGTGAGGTGGTTAATGGGATTGCCGATGAAAGATTTCAGCGGGCCGCGCGGCTCCAAGGCAGCCGGGCGGCAGATTACGAATTACGAAGAGGGTCGACGGCGTTAAGCATTGGTCATTCATGCCCTTAATTTTCTTGAGTATGACCGCGCCGCCCTGGGTCAGTCTGCTATGATCCGCAGCGCGTCTTCTGTAGATAATTGGGGCCTTTGTCACAGGAAAACAGATAGGCATCCTACTCTTGGTGACGAGGGGTTCGGCAGGATGGAAAATCCCCTGCTGCAACCAGAGCATGATAATGGGACCTCATTGACCTGGTGCGAGTAGATATGAGTGTCTTGATGATGTGATCTGGACTAAGCGGCCAGGGGCGGAGTCCGGACAGACCAGTTGTAGTGCTTCAAGATGAATCTTGATACGCATGGTACGAGTCTTCCTCTGACCTGACGAAACCCATCCTGAACAAATTCTCCACCTATGTGGAATCACCGAGAGAGCGAGGAACAATCACAACAAAGACGGAGAAAGATGCGTTTCTGTCGCATCAAGAGATTGCTCATGAGGTAGAATAGAGATGTGTATACGCCCCGTACACCGGTTGAAACAAATAGCCGTCGTTACTTCCATACAAATACACATTACCAAATACTTGAAAAGGGGGGGGGAAAGGGGAGGGCAGGCAGTGAAGAAGATTTCACAACACACACGACGCAGCCGTACGTCTTTCTTCCCCCCACCGCTCTCCCCTTGCCTCTTTTCGAATGCAGTCGCTTCTTTTTCCTTTCGTTGCCTCTTCCCGTGCAAAGGTGAGAGAGAATGTGTGTGTGTGCCCCTGTCCATCGCGAAAAGGAAAGAAACCTTTCATCGGTTGAACGCCCCCCAACCCAACCCTCCCTACTCCCCCCCCCCCACACCCACATCTATCTCCTCTTGACATTCCTAACCAAGAACGCGCCCACGACGCCCGCGGCGACGGCGACGCCGCTAATGATGGCGACGCCCATGAGGCCTTCCTTTGCGACCTTATCATCGACGAGCTGGCGCAGGTTCGAGGCCTGGAGGTTGGCGGGTTCCTTTTCGAGGAGGAGATCGTTGTAGCGGCGGGCTTCGCCGTAGTTGCCGAGCTTGTAGTTGCCGAGGGCGAGGTAGAAGAGGCACTCGCGGCGGCGCTCGGGAGAGACGCGGAAGATTTCGGAGAGGAGGCGGACGCCTAGTTGCTGGTCGTTGCGAGAGTCTGATTTTACGAGGCCCTGTTGGGTTTTTTTTGTTTTAGCGGAAGAGATGAGAAATGGCGCCAAGGCGACGACGGGACGCGCACGGCAAAGGGGGAAGGTGGATGAGAGAATATGGACACGGGAACGAGGGGACCGGAAGGTCTTGGGAAAGGCGACGGACGGGAGGGGAGGGTAGGTTGCTTACCCACGCGTAGTTGAACTTGGTCTGGACGCCGACCATATCGCCCTCCTTTTCATACTGGGCGCGGAGGACCTGGAGCTCGGATGCCTTGAGGGGCCTGCGGTACGGTGGGCTTGTTAGTCACGATGCCGTCGCATGATCGGAAGTCGCGGACCAAGGTTGTTGTTTGGAGAAAGCGATGAATGGGAATGGCGGGCGGAGTAGAACATACGTTTCCGCGTCGAGGGCGTCTGCGCAAAGCGGTCAGCTCACTTGGCCAAGTTTATGGTGACGTTGTTTCGCAGCGTAGGAGGGGGAGGGGCGAGCGACTTACAAGGTAGATCGACCATATTTGCGATGATGCAGTTGTCTCGTGCTATGTGAGTTTGTGGTTTTTTTCCTTTTCTTTCTTTCTTGATTTTGGATCGTATGACAGCAAGGCGATACCTCTGTTGAAACTCGCAATAGTGATCGTTATACAAATAATCGCGTGGAGTCGACGACAGCTGTCACGAGTAAAGGTAAGGTAAGGTAGGCTGCGATGCCAAAGCGTTTGGGTGCTGAATGCAGAATCGAAAAAGGTGCGCGACACTGATTAGCAGAAACCGGAGAGTGGCTGAAGCTCTGCCATTTGAAGATCCGTGGGGACTCAGCGATTGGGGGGGGGCGGGCACGGGGGCCACCTTGGGGGGGGAAGACCACGGCGGCGGCGGCGGGCGGCGTCATGTGTGGCGGATGACGACTTGTTGGAGCAGCTGCGGTGGAGCTGTGACAGGGGTCAGATGTTGTAGGAAACTTAGTCAGCTCCGATTGTCGTCCCGGTGATGGGTGACACTTTGCCTCGCGATAAGGTAAGCCAGAGAGACGGGCAAGACATTTTTTTGTTTGGAGCATTTCCATATCGGGTTTGGGCTGGCTTTTCCCTTATCCCACCCAGACGATTTCTAGTCGCATTCATCCACCCATCCATCAGTCAATCAATTAACGACACCAACACCACCGCAAAAAACAACGCGACACCACGAGTCTACCGTACCTTACGTGTACGCCGAGAGTCAAAATACCTTCATACCCAATCTTCACACAGAAAGAAGCAGAAACCAGCCAAAATGCTTTTAGCAGAGGAGCCCGCGACGGTAGGTCCCCCCCTCCCCTCCTCTCTCAACATCCCGCATTGTTGACAGTACCTACAATCAATGGGAGGGGTCGCTAACAAGACATGATTCTTCTCCGCTTCGCAGCTCATCTCGCACACAATCGACAACTTCAACATCCAACCAGACAAGCAAGCCATCGCGCGCATCAATGAGTCCCTCTCCACCCTCCAGCAGGCCCGCGAGCTACGCCTCCGCGAGGCAGAGAACGCCCTCAAAAGTACGTCTCATCGCCCGTCTCCCCTCCAACCTTGTCCAGAACTTCAAAAAAAAATCTTCCCTCTTGCCTCCCAAGAGTCGCGCGCGATGCACCAGAAACCCTCTACACGGCACAGGAACCTAACATCCCAACCACCAACCAGAACTCTCCCGCCAACTAAACACAATGTCCTCCCAACACGCCGAACTAACCGCATCCCACTCCTCAACCGCCCACGCCTCGGAAATAGCCCGCCTCGACACCACAAAATTCCGCACCGCCAAAGCCGCATCCGACGCCGAAATGGAGGCAGAGCGCCTCGCCCAGCAGGCCGCCGACCTCAACGCCCGCCTCCAGGAGCTCGAGATCCAGGGGCTCGACGGCTCCGCCGACGACCAGGCTCGCCGCCGCGACCCCGTCGACGACGAGGTCCTCTTGCGTCTCAAGGTCTACCGCAGCCTCGGCATCGAGATTGAGCGCGACGGAAAGGACGGGACGGGCGAGTTTACGCGCGCTGTGGTGAGAAATGATCGCAAGGGCGACGTGCATGTCGTCAATATGGACAAAAAGTTTTCGAAATTCTTTTACGCCAACTACTTCTGGCAGACTTTGTAAAAGTTGCTACTGTCTTGCTTAGATTCGGGTTCATGACGGCGTTTGGAGGGTTTGTGATAGGATACCACGTCTTGAATAGACACATTTCTTTACGATGAGACAGGGGTTGTGGACATTTCACGTTGTTCTTCAAATGCTAGTCTTGAAGTGAATAATGTCTTAGTAATAGTTGCATCGTTGACCGTCCGCCTGGACGTGGATGAGATGTGATACAGCCAAACGCTTAGTGACTCCCAGGTACAGTCCATAATTCTGTCCGTCAATAGCCTCGCCGGGCCAAATATTCCCAATCCCTGCTTTGAGCTTTCCTTGTCAGAGAGGATATCACATTCCTACCTGAACTTTCTCCTAATGTTCCATCCAGGAACTGATTCCAAGCCCTGTTTTCCGGCCTAGACAAAAGGAAAGGTTCATACAGCCCTCTTATACCGCCCACTTTCAAGGGCTTGCCTATGACACCAACGTGGTGGTGGGAGAACTGGGGTAATTTCTCCTTCCACATCCATTAATGATAACTTTTCGTCTTCCTACAATAAGAAGGGCTTTCCTCACGCCACTGCAACCTTTCTCACAGCCTTGGCTGATAGAGTCGGGAAGTAGTCGCCATCAACGCCGTCGAGCGCTGTGAAGGCGATGTGCGTGTTGGTGGGTGTCCGTGCCCTGGAGCTGTTTGGTGACACAATGGCAGTATATGCTCCGCGGTTGCTCTCTGGGCTCCGGTTGCGGCCTCCCTTCATCATCAGGTAGCCATCGCCGCCACCCGGAGTGGTAGGTCCGCCGCTGGGACTCCGGTGATGATGCCTCTGGTATTGGCGATCCGGTAGCTCAAGACGCGAATTGATGGTCATCCACAGCTCATCGTCGTTTCCGTTTCCAAACCGCCAACCGCCAAGACCCTCGTAGTCACGGTCGATACCAACAGAGGGGAAGAGGCCGATCCCCCCTGCTTCCGAAATGGGTGTTATTGTGCCAACGGAGACGGCGGAAGCAGAGGACGGCCGCCTGGTACGACGCGAAGCGGAACGCCGTGTGGGCGTTAGCGACGGCGACGGACTACCGGATACCGGTGCCTTGGACGCATAGGAAAGATACCTAGGTCGACCGGTAATGTACGATGGGAGCATAGATAAGGCGAGGTCGAAGTAGACAAGAATGACTCTGAAGATGAGGACAGTGAATGCGAGTGTGGTCGTAATCCCGGCAAATATCGCCAACGGGATGGTGAAGAGGAAGAGGAAAGGGACGATGATGGCGTAAACAGGATTGATGAGAGCCATTGTTGCGGTCGATTGACGTAAAAGCCGTAGAATTGGAGGGGTTTGTAATGAGCAGTATCTCAATAAGTTCCTACTTTACAACATCTCCTCGGCTTTCTCGAGTATTGGCCGGTGCGTGGTTTATCTCTCGGTGAAGCAAAAGGTGGTTCCGGATGCGACCAGAATGTCCCGGTGACTGAGTCGTACGATCCGGTCACTGTCGTTCGGTCGGTGGTCCGATCGTTCGATAACGTTGTAATACCCAACCCACAGTCGACGATTCCCTCTCCTTCAACACATGGAAACAGAAGGGGAGAAGGGAAAAAAGGTCGTGTGGGGATGGAGACTCGGTGGTTTTGTATGATGCGGCAACGGAATGTCAGGTATTGTGTAGGGAGACTTGGTGCACACCAAAAGTCAAAACTTCAGAGACATGGCGGACGGGAGAGGTATGCTCGAGAGAATGGGATGAGACGAAGGGAGCCGGGAGCGAGCCTTCAAACCTAGAGGTTGGTGGCTCCCTGGCCTGTGGCAGCACGGAGGGGGGTCTGAACCACACCGGAGAGAGAGCGAAAGAGTAAGGGTGCAGTCGGATCGAGACTGTGTTTGTCTCTTTCACATGCCGGAAGCTAGCGGCAAAGCACTAGCAATGCCCTTGTCGGGGGGGTTCGATGCAGTGTAACGCTACTTAATCAGAGAGAACGGAAAACTGGAGAAACCGAGCTGGGGCTATCACAAGCTACAGGGTCTCGAGGTGGCACTACACCCGTTACCAGTGGCTGGGCTGATGGTGGAATGGGAGGCAGATTTCATGGTGAGTGGCCATCTCGACTGTGTGCTCGAGCTTTCGAGTGCCTGGAGAGTTTTTCTGCCTGCTAAGTACGGGGGCCCCGGGAAGAGGAGAACTTGATGAATACTCGGCGTCATCGGGCCTGTGGGCTCTCTTTCGTATTCCACAGGGTCGTCGTTTTACGAGCATAGTTCAGGCCGTCCAATATTGGACGTTGTTCAAATCAAATCCCGCTGGGACGGCAGCCGAAGAAACAGAGTTTGCAGTTCCTGGACGGTGGCTTTCCATGTGAAGAGCGATGTGTTTCTGACTGACAGAAACGGCTGTGGGAAGCAAGCGGAAAACAGAGTTTGCCGGATGAATCAGCGTCTTGACTTATGCGCCTTCGGGGGTCGAATTCCTTTGACTGCTAGCCAACAATGCCCAGTAATGCGCCCTGGAGTTGATGGGAAAGTGACGAAAAATAGCAGACGTGCGCTCCGGAGTTGGGATGGGGGACATGATGTGCGACGAGTGTGTATGCCGCTATCAGCTTCGCCAAACAGGCCGTCCGTTGGTGATTATGAATGCAATTGCAACGTGTGCAGCTAGCAGGTTGAAAGATAAGAGGTCCGTCTCGGTGAAATGAGATCGCTTGTTGTCCGAAACCGATCGCCGCGTCTCCGCACTTCCAGACTCAAGGCGTGCCAGGGTCAGGGTCAGCATTGTACGGAAGGTCTGGGGAAACGTGCAGGGAAGAGTATTCCGAACAGAATCCCCCGCAAGTCCAGAACACAAGGATGGACGTCGCCAGTCAGAGCTCGACAAGGGCGAGCGAGGAACAAGGAAGGACAGAATGGCAAATCACCGTTCGAAAGGTGTATCTCTTGCGTGCCGTGGAGGGAACTAATTATGTGTGTAATGATTTAGCGTTCTCCAGGCGGCCAGGCGGTCCTCAGATATGCCAGGCTTGCCATGGTAGCAACGTGTGTGCAGCAGGCCAAGGTGGTGTAGGAGCCGCAAAGATTGGGCCGATCTTGTCAACGGTAGGCCAACGCAGCGAAGATCCCTAGCAAGGGCGAAACGCTCGGCATAACGAACTTAGGGAGACGAGCCATGGCCAGGACTGCCGTCTGCCGCCCCAGGTTGGCCCTGGACAGCCGGGGGAGATGCTCTTGGTTTCCCCGCGACATCAACATCGAGCAAGTGATTTCTCCAGTCACAGCCCGGATGGCCAGATCAAAATCCCGGGGTGCATGTGGGATGTCTTGGTCGGGGGCGTCAGTGTCAACTCCATCTTCCCCAGACCAGACCAGCACGACCATTGGTGGTTGTCTGGGGGAGAAAGTGTCAGCGTAACATTCTTTGCCAAGTTCCCATGGCCCATGCTTTCCTAAGTTCCTAGGCAGCGCCATTGGTAAAAAGGCAAACGCCACAGCAGAAAGAGGCATGGCGATCGCCAGAAGCCAAAGCTCCCCCGGGGGGCTTGCGACGGCCAACGAGCGCAGACCGCGGAGGGGTCGAGGCATAGCGATGCTTCCGGTAGAATGCTCATTGTCCTAGATGCAGACCTAGATGCAGCCAAAGACGTGGTAGACTGGCAAACGGGAGATGGGACTTTGGGGTCTGTCTGGCGATGGGAAGCCATCGAGGTACATTGGAGGGTGTGGCCTGACCTGGCTTGGCCTGGTCATATGTATTGGTGCTTTGTGATTTGTTGGCTTGGGGACAGCCGGTGAGGATTCGACGGGCATCGAGGGTGTCGTCGTCTTGGGGTGGCTGTGTCTGTGTTGTGCGTTTCTGCAGTGGTGCATGCACTAAACGCCGAAGATACCGACCGACGTGGTGTTTGCTTGCGGCATGACATTTGGGAGACGAATGAGAGAATGAGGTCTCTGGATATCGCGTTTTGCGTCGTTCGAATTGGCATAGCAAGGCTTCTTCGAGAGACAGTGACATTAGTGTTTTTCAGATCCAGGAAAAGTCCGGACGAGGAAAAGCAGGAGGCAAAGGAGGGAGGCAAAGGATGAGCAGGAGGAGAAGGAGGATTGAGAAGTTCGACACAGCGAGGGTCTCGAGTGTCTGTCTCTCCCGCCTCTTTCCTGTCCATCCGCGTTCTTTCCGTGTCACACTTGCCAGTCCCGCTCCCTCCCCTCCTTCCCCCGGCCGTCCCCGTCCGTTCCCCGTAGTTCCTCCCCAAATCCAAAGTCGCAGGAGGCCATGTCCCGTCGTCGCTCCTGCCCGCCCAGGGCCCCCTTGACACCATTCTACAGTGACCCCACTAATTCCCCGTTCCAGATCTACCTGTCCTCAGAGGCTCGGAGCTGACCCGCGTCTCCCCTTGTCACTGCCACAGCATCATCGCGCCTTTCCTGGGGTGTTGACAACATCGAGATGCTCCACCCAAAAATTGTCACATCACCATTCATCACCTTTGCAGCAGTGTGGCAGCCTTTCTGCGGCTGTTCTCACTTGCACGTTGGGTCCCATCTCCCGCAACTCGGTTAACCCTCTCTTTCATCATCGCTATCTCTCGATCTAGATACGCCTTGAACGTGCCTCGAGGTACTTACCCTCGCTTAGAGTCCTCGTCGTACTCGCAAAACCCCCCGCCGTCTTAGACCGTCCCAGCGCGCCGCAGTCCCCTCTTACAACCGTCACCCAATCCCATAGTTCCAGCCGTCCCAGCCGTTCCGTTCTTGGCCATTCATTTGCAATTGCAAAACGGCCAAAGAAATTGGAAGGTTCCGGGGTGCAGTCACTGGGAGGAGATAGCGATAGCCCAAAGACCTCGCTATCGTATTATACCTCCCCTTTGAGCCTCACCGTCTCCTCTGTTTGAGACTCGGCCATCACCGTCTATCCCGCTTACCCGTCGAGCTCAGCCCGGTACACCACCAGCTCCAGGCCAAGCACCGACCACCCACCAGTCAAACACCAGCATGTGTGGCCAGCACGACGGTGAGGAGCTTGTCCACTCCACTGCCGTCACCTCTGTCTCGACTTCATCGGATCCCTTCCCCTGGGAATCTGGCGTCTACGATGCTCATTGCCACCCCACGGACACCATGTCCACCGTCGAGGCTATCCCCAGCATGCGCGCCTCGACTCTAACCGTCATGGCCACCCGGAGCCAAGACCAGGCCCTCGTTGCTGAGGTTGCCGCGTCCCACGGCGTGCGATCAAAGTACGAGCTGTCTCAGGGCCATCTGATTCCCTCCTTTGGCTGGCATCCGTGGTTCTCCTACCAGCTGTTCGATGACACCGTGCCCGAGGCTGAGAGGACGTACCACGAGGGCCAATCCGACGCAAAGAAGCGCCATTACCAGGCCGTGCTAGCCCCCGCCCCTGAAGACCCCGACTTTCTTGACGCCTTGCCCACCCCGCGTTCTTTGTCGACCTATTTAGCCGATACCCGGGCGCGCCTCCAACATCATCCCCTTGCTCTAGTCGGTGAGGTGGGTCTCGACAAGGCCTTTCGCCTACCCCAAGGACGAACGGACGCGGACGAGTCCTCTCGTGACCAGGCTCTTACCCCAGGTGGTCGCGAGGGGCGTCGTTTGGCGCCTCAACATGTCAAGATGCCCCACCAAGTTGCCGTGCTGAAAGCTCAGCTGGCACTCGCGGGTGAGCTTGGCCGTCCTGTGAGTGTCCACGGCGTCCAAGCCCATGGTGTTCTCCATGATACCCTCTCTTCGCTGTGGAAGGGTCACGAGAAGGAGGTTGTCAGCAGGAAGAAGCGTCGTCTCGTTGCCGAGGGAGCCGAGGACTTTGATTCCGAGGATGATCTCGAAGAGGATGAGTTTGGCAGAAAAGACGTCCCGCCAAGGCCGTACCCCCCGCGGATATGCCTCCATTCATACTCTGGACCTGCTGAAATGCTGAAGCAGTATACTAACCCGGCCATACCAGCGCGCATATTCTTTTCCTTTTCTTCGGCCATCAACCTGGGCACCAAGGCGGGTGCTGACAAGATTGCTGAAGTTCTCCAGGCGTGTCCAGACAATAGCATACTGGTCGAGAGCGACTTACACATTGCTGGTGATGAGATGGATGCCAGGTTGGAAGAGATGTACAGAAAGGTGTGCGAGATTAAGCAGTGGAAGTTACAAGAAGGAGTGGAGCGCATAGGAAAGAATTATCGGGACTTTATCTTCGGTTGACATATAGGTGCCAGATAGGAAGGTTATGAGCAGGTTCCAGGTACTCCTTCGCAATAGACACTGAGAACACTCATCTTCCATGAGAACACTCATCTTCCACTTAGGTTTGAGGCTACCTAGAGCGACCCTCGCAGTCGCAACGACCCTTCGGGTGCACTTCAAAGTGCGGATTCCAAGCGTTTCGTCCGCTGGCTGCCGTAGAGACTCTTTTCTTCTTTCTTTTCTTCCGAAAGCGCTGTTCAATGATCACAGCTGCGGTGAAGTCCATGGCGACCAAGTACAAAACCACATCGTCGTGAACGCCTGCATGTAAACCGGATGGGGGCTTGGTGTGTCCGTTGCTGCCATGTGTGGACATTATTAGTAGCTTACTTAAAGGTCGAGGAGAAAGAGAGAGAGAGAGAGACATGGATACAAAAATGCAACTAGATTTATTTCATCTTGCGAACGCTCATAACGTTGTCTGATACACGCACGACTATAACTTGTTCTACCATTCATGATTATCTCTTTCATCTTTCAACTGCCATGCAGTGCATCTATCCACACACTCACAAATATAACAACAACACTCTCTCCATGTGGTTAGGCCAGCAGTAGGCCAGCAAACGCCAATCATTACAAGCATGACAGGAAGAAAACACAAACAATAAAGTAGACAGAAAAAAAGAAGAGGTGTAATATAGATGCGGGATATCTCTACTAAATTTCAATATATCAAAGGACCAATTCTCATCATTGCTACACTCATCACCCATCAGCCCCCCCCCCCTTGCTCCAACGCTTTCCTGCTAAAGGTGCTCTTTAATTCTTGGTCTCTCCCAAGACGTCGTCAATAGTAGAAGCCGTATCCGACGGCGCGCTGGGCACGTACTCGCTCGAGCCGGGCGAGTAACTGCTGAAGCCGTCCGAGACGATGACGGAGGGCGCAGTGTGCTCGTCGTAGGCGGGGAGGACGTCGTCGCCCATGTACTCGGCAAAGGCAGTCGTCGGGCTGGGAGGGTTGATGATGGCGGGACGCTGGAAGTGGTTTGGCATCAGGTGCTGGTGCTGGCAATGCATCTGCTGTGGCTGCTGCTGTTGTTCTTGTTGCTGCTCCTGCTCCCTCATCCTCTGCCTCCGCTCCTCAGCGGCAACCATCTCGGACACCAACATAGCAGCGTTTCTAAACTCTGTGATTTCGTCCGTCATGCTCTCCATTGTCTCGAAATCTCTCTCCGATTCAGAGGAGATCGACGGGCGGCCGTCGATAAAGGCCTGCTTCTCCTCGTCCTCTCCGCTGCCCGCGCGGGCGGTGACGAACATGCGGGACCAGAAATCCGTCAGGGTGGCTTGGCGGGCCTCCTTGCGGGCCTCGCGGTGGTCGCGACGGAGGGCGCGGCGGGCGTGCTTGCGTTCGCGACGTTCGGCGCGGCTGCTATGGCGGCGGGCAGAAGAACGGGAGAGGACGCCGAAGCGGAGGAGGGCTAGGATTCCGACGAAGAGGAGGACTGCGATGGAGATTTTGGCGGGGAGGGGGAGGCGGTGGGGGGGACGTCTGTGAGGACCTCTGTGGTGAGGGCCTCTGTGGTGAGGTCCTGGTGGAGGGAAACCCGGGGGCTTGAGGTGGAATGTCAGCTTTTTGCTCTTTTGTTTTTTTTTTTGGGTAGAGAAGACTTACGCCGTGGTGGCCGTGAGGGCCGCGGTGGTCGGGGCCTTCGTGATCGAGGGGGTTTTCGTGCTCAAAGTCGTGAGGGGGTCCCAGAGGAGGAAGACCTGGGGGACCGGGAGGTCCGCCGTGGTGGCCGTGGAATCCGGGTCCATCAAACGGAGGAGGCGGGCCGTGATGGTCGTGAGGACCGTCAAAGGGAGGAGGTGGCGGGGGTCCGTGGTGGCCGTGAGGAGATCCATGAGGAGGCTCGTCGAACGGCGGGGTAGGAGGGCCGTGGTGAGGTCTTCTGGGTGGCTCAGGGGGTCCCTCGGGGGGCCCATCCGGAGGTCCCTCGCGAGGCGGCGGCCCGCAGTGGCAGAACCCCGGAGGAGGCGGTGCGGTGTGGTTTCCCTTTTCGTGGTTGCCGTGATGGGGGAAGGGGAAGCCGGGGCACGAGGGGGGAGGACCGTGGGGACGACGGCCGTGGTGGTGGCCTTCTCTTCTGCCTCCGGGGTGACGGCCCTTGCCGTGGAAGCCGCCGCCGCCGCCGCCGCGGACGCGGTGCATGAGGGTATCGATGACGCATTTCAACGAGTTGCAGGAGCGGAAGCCGCGGTGGCTGGGCGGGAAGATGCCGTGGTCCTGGGCGAGGCGGGATTCCTTCTTGTGGATTACGTGCTTGAGAGCGCGCAGCTGGTGGCGGAGGCACTCGAGGTCGTCGAGCTCGGCGAGGACCTTTTCGTCTAGCTTGGGGTGCTCGGGGCGGTGATGGCGGCCCCCCTCGTTGTCGTGACCAGGGCGGTGGTGAGGGGGTCGCTGCTGCTGCTCGCCGGGGTGGTTATCCGGGTGGTTGCCGACGCGGTGGTGCGGCGGCGGCGGGAAAGGTGGGTCCTCGAGGAGGCCGTCCTCGTCGTCGCCGGGCCGGGGTTTGTGGGCGCCAAACTCGGGGAGGGTGACCGAGGACGGAGGTGGATGGGCGTCTGAGGTCCTCACGTTGCCGGCGACCTCGATGATGGCGGCGGGGGCAGTCTGGCGGAAGCGGGCGACAAAGGCGAGGTCCGAGGCGAGGGTGCGGCCGGAGAGGGACTCGAGGGTGAAGCGGAGGAGCTGCTCTTCGCCGGCGCAGGTGGCAGACCAGGAGGCGATGAAGGTTGAGCCATCGTGGTCGCCGGCAAAGGTGCCGCGGCCGAGGGTGTGGCCACCCTGGGAGAGGGCGTTGTCGTTTACTTTGATGTTTGGGTAGGCACAGGGGGAGGGCGCCTCGAGGACTTCCAGGTGGAGGGTCTGTGTTGTGTTAGTTTTGGAGATGTTATTATGGGCGAACCAGAGGATATCTGAGTCCATAAATGTACTTACGTAGGGTTTAGGCTGGTCCTCGTTAAAGCCAGGGGGGATGTCAAAGGTGATGAAAGTTGATGGCGAGGCATCTGGAGTTTATTAGTCACGATGAAAGGGTGACGGGGAGTGAGGATTGGGACGTGAGGAGGTGGCCATACCGTTGACCTTTTCCATGCCAATCTTGGATGGAGCGGCTCCCACGAGGACCGGCGCGAGCAGGAGGGCCTGCGCCAGGCCGCGCATGATGGGCGGTTTGGGGGTGGGGGAATGCTTTGGTTTCTTCGATACGGGGAGGATCGATTTGAGATTTACCCTCGTCGAGACTCAACGGTCGTCAACCCCGTCTCCTTCGCTAAGGCGTTACAAATTACCGAATATTTCGTATTTGGAAACCCCTCTGCCTGGAATAATGGTGTGCTCGTCGTCGGTCGTCCTTCGTTGTTGGCAGTGAGATGGGTTCGGTTCGGTGCGTCTCGGGTGACGATGTGGAGAGGGTGAAGGAAGAATGGAGAGTGGACGGCAAGGGCAGGTAGGTGATAAATGGCTGCCTGGCAAATAGCGTGTGTGTACAGAGTACGGAGACGTAGATAAGTCTTTCGTCGAGTCGTGTATTGGCTGACGGTGTGCCAACCTCTGTCAGTCCAGTCGTCTTACACCGTCGATCGAGGGACACATGCAGCTTGACGTCTCACACTCACACACTTACAACCCCCTTGGCGCCTGAATGAAAAGAAACAACGGGGGAAAGAATCAATGGAAGGTATTCACACTTTCCACCGAGAATGAAACGTGAAGAACTGGCAATGTGAGGAAGCAAGAGAGATTGTGAAAATTGGAAAAAAAAAGTGATTTGGGTGACAGGCACTGAGACAGAGAAAGAGAGAGGCAGTGTCATCCGGGGACGCGCAGTCTCGTCGCACCAGGAGGTAAGTGGGGCTTCGCAATCCTCTCGGCGCCGCTAGACCGGCCGTGGCCAATCAGCGCAGACGAGCTGACGAGTCCTCCTTTCAGCGCTTGCCCATCATCTGCGAACTAGGCCGGTACGTACCTGCCGTTTGGTTCGTGCATCCCGAACTGCCGGTCCCGCGCCGGGGATCCACACTACCAGCAGCAGCCAATGACAACGAGAGCATGTTGGCTACTCATCGGACCCGTGGGGTTGCTGCGATGGTGCGCATTCGCCCTGGCATAGAAATTTTCTCGCTCTGATTCCCTTTGGCCTCGCTGGCTGCAGCTGTATTATAACAATGCCCAGTCTGGTTGTCTACTATGTAGTAGTCCCTGGGCAAACCAGAGAGTTGGGTGGATCCCGGTGTAACAGGCTAAGCACCGGAACGTGGGGTGTGACGCTAGTTTTCCGAGGCGACGGGCCCCACCGAGGTGACGAGACATGAGATTCGGCACTGCAAGCCGCGCACTACTGTCTAGGTGCGCATATTGTTCCGACTTCCTGGACGGCCACGCCGTTCCTGGTCCTTTGAGTTTTGCTTGTCTGATTATTTGTAGTCCCTCGGTCCACGAATAGGTGAAGCTGTTTGCCCTAATGAATGATGGGCGGATGGCCATGTAAGCACCATAAGTCCTTGCCGCCGTGAGCGCGCGGGTCACCCCTTCCCCCTCAATTGATAGTGCGAATCAATAGCTACGAGGCCGTCTAGCTTGAAACGATCATTCCGTGGAGAAAGTGGTACGACGAGAAGACAAAGGACCGGAGAGGTGACCCCACGCAGATGGAAGGCGGAGAAGAAGAACTTGAAGAAGAAAAAGACGGGCTCATTCGGCTATGATCAAGCAATACACTAAGGGAGTCCCCTCAAAATGAAGATACAACCATGTCCCGTGAGGGCTCCTGAATGTGGGAATACCCGTCCGTACCTTGTAAAGAAAAGACAGGAGAAGATGGATGAACATGCCAGATACGCCCCCCTGTCCTCCCCGGGCCCCCCCCTTCACGCCCCGCTATAGACTGTCAAATGCTTTAACCTACCTTGCCGGGAAAGGGAGATACACGAGACGAACCAACCAACAGAAGAAAAGAAGACGGATCACACAACTCCTCGAGGCTCAAGCTTTCACGACCCAAGAAACCAAAATAATCCAAGAAACCCACCCGTCCACGCGTCAAACTGCAGCTGCTGCACTGCTGAGAGTTGCATGCCTGTAACATGGCTCTCAAAATCCCCCATCAGGAAAATAAGAGATCTGCGAAACGTCGCCACGCTTCCCCTGGGTTGACACTTTTGACAGGCGGACTAGACCCCGCCACACCCAGAGAAGAACAATAGTTCGACACTGCATGTACTGGCAATGGCTCTTACAAGGGTGGCAAGAGGTCCTTCAACACCTGCACACGAGCCCGCGCCACGTCGGACCCTTGTTCGCCCTCACCCATCAACACCATGATCTTGATCATTTTTGCTGCAATTACGTTTGTTAGCAAATAAGGAACGACGAGTGAGAACACACCAGGCCAATACAAGGAAAAAAAAGAAAAGAAAAAAAGTCTCACCAATATCACTCCTGGCCCTCTGGAACAACGGATCCCTCTCCGCCTCCTCCGCCGCAACGGGATCTTTGGCAATTTCCCGCAGCACACTCCCGATACACAGCGCCTCAAGGAACGCGCGGTGGTTGAAAACCCACCACACCCTCGCCTCGAGCTCAAAAATGTCAAAGAGCAGGAAAAACGACGTAATCGCCTCGTGCGCCGCCTCGAGCGTGCCGCGCGTGTTGGACGGACACTCGGCGCTCTCGGACGCGTAGACGAGCATGATGTTGTGGTGGTAATTGCTCGTCAGGAACAGCGTCTGCCTCACGACGCGGTTGTTGGTCCGCGCCAGCGTCACGAGGCTGTCGGCGTCCCAGGAGCGAAAGACGTCTGGGAAGGAGCGGTAGACGCAGCGGAAGTCGGCGATGAGTTTGGACTTGTGGCGGACGGTGGCGCAGATGGGGAGGTCGAGGGAGCGCGGGGAGCAGATAGTTTCTTGGACGAGGTTGGCGAGGGTCCAGGAGCCGCGGATGTAGGCAATGTCGGTCGGGTCGCTCGAGGCGATGGCGGAGCCGTCGTCGACGAGGTCTTCGACGGAGACGTCGGTGTGTGTTGCCGACGGCGGGAGGGAGAGGAGGACTGTGAGGAAGGTGTCTTGGAGGAGGACGGCTTGCCAGAGCTTGCGGCGTTGCTGTTTTTCAAAGATGGGGGCGTCGGGGGTTACTGTTCGTGCTGCTTAGCTTCCAGGTGCATTTCATCCGAGGATTCTCTTCATGAAGAGGATGGATCATCGTACCAATGTTGGGATCGCGATGGAGACCCATGGCGTAGGCCTGGCGGATGAGTATGCCGGCAAACGCCCAGCCATCCGAGGCGTGGTTGTCGTTGATCAGAAAGTAAGTCAACCTGGTCACATCAGTCTTCACGTTCCACAGATGAACATGCGCAGACCCGTCTTGGAATAGGGGTAAAGGGGGTTCACCTACAGCACCATGGACTGAATGGAGCGCAACGAAGCAGCGCTCAGGTAGGAAAACATGCGAAGCGCCTGGTTACTCGCCGAAGCATAAAACTCGGCCGTCTGCTTCGCATCATTGGGCGAGTTGGACGTCACAAACTGCGTGCCCAGCGCGAGCATGACAAAGATGAGGCCCACAAACGCGGCGTCGACGCGGTTCTTCTCCTCGGCGCTGAGGCTCCAAAAGTGCTCATAGTCGGCGTAAAAAGTCTGGCGGTGGATCATGGGGTAGACCGGGTCGACGCACTCAAAGTACTGCGCCAGCAAAATGTCGGCCTGGACCTTTTCGGGCAGCACGGAGATGACCTCGGGCAGGCCGCCCTCGCAGGTCCAGTAGTTGGCAAAGGGGTGCTCGGAGCCGATGCCAAAGACGTTGCTGGCGGTCGGGAGGGAGTAGGGCACGTTGGAGAGCAGGCCGGTGGAGGAGGAGAAGGCGATGGAGCCGACGGAGCCGCGGGAGGTGAAGCCGCGGCCCTCGATGAGGCCTCTGTCGGCGACGTTGGGGATGGTGGAGATGTCGCCCGGCCCCTTTGACTTTGGGGGTTTTGTCATGCGGCGGCCGTTGGCGAGGGATCTTGTTGTTTCTCTGCTGTCTGGTCAGTTTTGTTTGCGTTTCCTGAGTCTCGAAGTCGTGGGGTTGAACAAACTCAAGTATTGTGGCCACGGCCGCATATTGACATTCCGTCTGGCGTTTGATACATGCTAAACAGTTGGGTCGACCTCGATCACACTGTTGTGTGTGTTAGTGTTGGTGGTGGTTTAACTTGATGAGTTTGATTGGCCTGCTTCTTTCACTCGAGGAGCATCGGGGGCGAGTAGATGAGCAAGTTTTGCGACGCAGGCATGCTCCAATCAAGCGTGAGAGCAACGAATCTTGTATTCCGCGCGCTGTGCAACTAGCATCGTGTGTTTGGCGACTGAACACAACCACTCGAGGCTTAATGTTGATACATTGACAGGCATTGGTACACTTGAAACCACCAGTTGGGTTCTGTGTGTGGGGGGGATGAAGCACGCAATGATGAGAAACCCGCTAGGGGTGAGAAAACAAAAAGAAGGGAAAAAGCCGTAGTGAAACTGGGGTAGCAGAGAGGAAAACAGAGCGACAAACAAAAATGTAGCAAACGAACCTTTGTCTTGCGCTCAACGCACTCGAAGCACGACAGGGTAGGTTTGTTGCGCTTCTGCTTTTTCCTGGCAGGCTTGTCGCCGCCGTCGTCAGGGCTGGCCGAGTTGCCGTCGATGCTCTCATCCGGGTGGTGAAGAGCGCCGTTGCCGTTGCCGTTGTTCTGGTAGCTTTTCGGTGTCGCCGTCGTCTGCTGCTGCTGTGCGACGGGGGTCGAATACGACGGCCCCGATGCCGCCGATGCCGCCGGCGACAATGCGGCCCCTCCATTTTGTGGTTGAGGATGAGGTAGTGATGGTAGACGCCCGTGATCTGGGGCTGGCGATCCGTAGGCTGTTGATGTCGAGCTCGGCGTGAATGGTTGCTGATGGGGATGCGGGAGATGGTTTTTGGAGGCCATGGCGGGTGTTTGCGTGTGGATGATTGCGCCACTTGAACTCTGTCGATTTCATTCAATTCAATTTCCTCATGAAACCACTCGATTAGACAAGCGGCTGGGGTGCCAAGGCCGACTTGATGCTGATTGCCACCGGCGGCGCAACAGGCAAACGAACGGCAAAAGTCGAGTTGACTTCCTGCGTGCTCCCGTCTCCGGCCGTCTCCGTCTGGGCAAGCCCGCGACGGTGCCTCTCTTCCCCCCGGAAGAAACGCAATTGCCCAGGGCGGCTGGCTGTCCAGGCCACCGGGCGGAGGGTCGGCAGAAAAGTTACGAGATTGAGAAATACGGAATAGTCAATTTGACAATTAGATTTCCGGACGTCGCACCAGCGGTTGGTCGAGATTTGGCGCCTGCGTTACCCGGGAATAAAAGCCAAGATCTAGAAACCAACAGCGGAGGGACGGAAGGGCGGACGGGCGATGCGGCGCGGCGGCGGGTTTTTGCGCAAACTTTCCGGAAAGTAAGTGATCGGTGTCTGTGTCAGTGTCGGTGTCGCCGGGTGCTCAGAAGCCGGAGGAAGGTGTTTGGGCGGTTTGCGCTGGGAATAAACAGGCGATAGAGGTAATGCGTTGCGGCAGCGTCGCACGAAGGAGATTGCGATGGGAATAAGGAGGGAAACAAGAGGGAAAGGGAGAACGTGCGGAACGCGGCCGGATGGGAAGGGGGGGGGGGGGGGGGGGGGCGCGGCGGGCGGCGGCGGGGGGGGGGGGGGGGGCGTTGGCAGCGATGGGTGGGGGGGGGAGGAAAAAAAAAAAAGCTTTGGCGGGTTTTTCGGGGGACTGAGGGGTGGCCCGGGGTAAGTTGGCTGGCCCTGGAGGGATGACAGTAGGTTGGCGTAACAATTTTTTTCCAAAAGAAGGAACAAAGCAAAGTTGGGGAAGGAGGGAAGGACGG